ATGTGTGATCCTTGTTACCTAACAGCGAAGACTGATAGGTTTCTAGTGGTCTCAAAAGAAGGCATCATGACTCCCCAGGGGGGTCTGGGCAGATGCCCGACGGGTGCCGCGGGAATCCGGGGACTCCCGCGGGAATCCGGGGACTCCCCATTTTCACTGCCAGGAGCTACATTTTGACTGCCCGGAGCCAACAGAACACCACTCCCAGGCCACATGTTGAATGCGCGGAGCCAACTGTAGGCCACTTCGTGTTCTTCGTGCTCCCAGAACACCATTCCCAGGCCACATTTTCAATGACCGGAGCCAACTGTAGGCCACTTCGTGTTCTTCGTCTTCCCAGAACACCATTCCCAGGCCACATGTTCAATGCCCGGAGCCAACTGTAGACCACTTCGTGTTCTTCGTGTTCCCAAAACACAATTCCCAGGCTAATCGTGAATGCCCGGAGCCAACTGTAGGCCACTTCGTGTTCTTCGTGTTCCCAGAAAACCATTCCTGCACCATATTTTGATTGCCCGGAGCCAACTGTGGGCCACTTCGTGATCTTCGTGATCCCAAAACATAAGTCCTGTGCCATATTTTGAATGCCCGAGCTGAGGCAGGCTGAGGCCGAGGCAGGCTGAGGCCGAGGCAGGCTGAGGCTGAGGCTGAGGCACGCCGAGGCAGGCTGAGGCTGAGGCTGAGGCAGGCTGAGGCTGAGGCAGGCTGAGGCTGAGGCCGAGGCAGGCTGAGGCTGAGGCTGAGGCAGGCTGAGGCTGAGGCTGAGGCTGAGGCTGAGGCTGAGGCTGAGGCTGAGGCCGAGGCAGGCTGAGGCTGAGGCCGAGGCAAGCCGAGGCAGGCTCTGAGGCTGAGGCAGGCTGAGGCAGGCTGAGGCTGAGGCAGGCTGAGGCTGAGGCAGGCTGAGGCAGGCTCAGGCCGAGACAGGCTGAGGCTGAGACTGAGGCTGAGGCTGAGGATGAGGCCGAGGCAGGCCGAAGCTGAGACAAGGTGAAGCTGAATGGGGGGGGGGAAGGGGGGGGGGGAGGGGAGGCTGAGGCAGGCTGAGGCCGAGGCAGGCTGAGGCCGAGGCAGGCTGAGGCTGAGGCTGAGGCAAGCCGAGGCTGAGGCTGAGGCTGAGCTGAGGCAGGCTGAGGCAGGCTGAGGCAGGCTGAGGCTGAGGCTGACGCAGGCTGAGGCTGAGGCAGGCTGAGGCTGAGGCTGAGGCAGGCTGAGGCTGAGGCCGAGGCAGGCTGAGGCTGAGGCTGAGGCAAGCCGAGGCAGGCTGAGGCTGAGGCTGAAACTGAGGCAGGTTGAGGCATCCGTAGGAATCCATAGGAATCCCTAGGAATCCTTAGGAATCCGTAGGAATCCGTAGGCATAGTTAAGCATCCTCAGGAATCCTTAGGAATCCTTAGGATTCCATTGGATCCTAAGGCCGTTGCCACTGTGACTGTCATTGCGAATGCGACTGCGACTGCGAGAACAGCAGAATTCTACAACTGGATTCTCACCTGAATCTTAAGGGGAATGCTTCCAGATATTCTTATACACATCGCTGTTAGGTTGCTTTGCCGGGATAATTTGTCTGAAGACGACCGGGCAACTGCATGTTTCCAGCCGTCCCTGATTTACCAACTTCCCTGCTGATCGTTTCTGGATGGGCTGGTGGGGATACTTTTTTGATCGCGACTGCGGCGAGGAACAGGTCGGGCGGCGTCAGGGCACTGCGAACGAGCAACGGCCTAAATTAGCGCAAAAGAAAAAGAAAGGCGAAAGAGGACAAGAACAAGCAGAGGAAGGCATCTTGTGTTACTATCATCATAGTTATTTGGATTCCGCTAGTCTTGTCCTCCTCATTCTTGGTAGAACTTGCATATTACTAGTATCATTATTGATATTATTATTATGATTCCTCCTCCTCCTCCTCCTCCTCTTCTTGATTCTGGGATGACGCACGGGGCGGCCTGTAAGGAGACACGCACGCGCGCACACAGTCTCCGACGAGCACCTCCCTTTAGCTCGCTGGGGTTGCGCCACCGGGAGGTTATCTGGGCTGGTCCCAAGGCTCGAAGAAGCCCCCGATGGGGCTCCACTACCCCGTGCACATACAGTGTGGCGACCACTTGTTCACATGGCGGCGCAACCAGAGGCACCAAAAGCTTTCCGGAGCAGCAATGAACACCACGTGCAATGATGTTCAAGTTGGGCCAAACTTTGGTTGTTTCGTCTGCGACGGGAGGGGGTTGTTCGGGCGTTCCCGGCGGCCGGAACACGCCCCCAACGGTGCCCCCACCTTCCCAATTTCTGGTCCGGATTACACCACCAAGGTGCCGCAAGCTGGAAGGGGGAGGGTATTCGGGACTTTCCATTGGCCCGAAATTTACCCTTTTTCGCCGTCGCCTGGGTGGGCGCGCCACAGAGGCGCCAGAAACCGGAGGGTTATTCGAGCTGCTCTCTTGGCGCGAATAGCCCCCCCTAGCCAAGCGCGCAAGAGTCGTCACTTTGCCGAGAGGGTCACGTGCAGTCGACACGTGCGATAAGGACACCAAACGTGACCGAAGCTGCCTGGACCGGGGATGCCAAAAATCTGCCCATGCGCGCCCTGCCCGCCATGCGGCCCCCGAGGTGGACGACCCGGAACAGCAAAAGCAGCAGGGGGGCAGAGGAAGGAACGACACCCGGGGACCAGGACGAACCTGGAGCCGGGGGAGGGAAGAGAGCGAGCTACAGGGAACGACCGCGCTAAGGGGGGGGAGTGAGGAGGGCGAAGCCCAGGCGACAGCCCGAGAGACGAGCAGGAGGAATAATATAGGCAGAGGAGCGACGCAAGACGGCGGAAGGAGGGACGGCGACACCACCCGGGAGGCAGGCGGGTGGGAGAGCAGCGCTGGCTCTCAGGCTTCTAACGCGGGCGGTCGTTCTTCTGCTCTGGGTGCGCCAGCAATAGGCGCCACAAACCCGGGAGGGTGTTGGGGCTGCTCCTCTGGCCCGAAAGACCCCCCAAACGGTGTCCACCACCGTGCGCACTACAGCCTACGTCGGCGCCCTTGTCGGTCGTCGGTTGCGCCATCAAGGCACCGCACATCGCCGCGACGCCCGCGGCCAGCGACGGCCCCGCCGTCGGTGGCTGAGCCACTGGTCACGGGGGGATGTTGGGGCTGCTCTCTTGGCCCGAAGAACCCCCCCAGCATCGGGGCCACAGCCGCGGGCGGTCGTTTTTCTGTTCTGGGTGCGCCAACAAGGCGCCACACACCATGCAGGGGGCTTGTTCGGGCTGTTCCTCTGGCCCGAAGGGCCCCCCAAACGGTGTCCACCACCGCGCGCGCTATACCCGGAGGGCGCCGACGTAGTTACATGTCGGCGCCCTCGCCGGTTGTCGATTGCGCCATCAAGGCGCCACGCATCGCCATGACGCCCGCGGCCAACCACGCGCAATGCCAAGACACCACCAGTCACGGGGGTTGTTCGGCTGATCCCTTGGCCCTAAGAAATTCCCTCAATGCAGCTATCGCCGGATCGCCAGAACGCCGGATCGCTGGATCGCCGGATCGCCGGATCACCAGGAACGCGGGATCGCGGGATTGCACGACCACTGGATCGCCAACTTGGCGGATCGCTGGATCGCCGGATCTGCGGATCGCCGGATCGCCGGATCGCCGGATCGCAGGATCGCCGAATCGCCGGATCGCTGGATCGCCAAATCGCTGGACGAATCGCCGGATCGTTGGATCGAAGATTCGCCAGATCGCAGGACCGCTGGATCGGCGGATCGCCGGCCTTGTGAGGTTTGTTCTAAGTCTCCGACCTCTGCTAGTAAATCTAACTTGCACTCTCGATCGAGGGTGCCGGGCTCCTCCTGCTCCTCCTCCTCCTCCTCCTCCTCCTGCCCCTCCTTCTCCTCCTCCTCCTCCTCCTGCCCCTCCTCATCCTCCTCCTCCTCCTCCTCCTCCTCCTCCTCCTCCTCCTCCTCCTCCTCCTCCTCCTCCTCCTCCTCCTCCTCCTCCTCCTCCTCCTCCTCCTCCTCCTATACTTACCTCCGACACTGGCTGGCCCAAACGGAGAGAAGGGGGAGGGAGAGAAAAAAATGAGTAAAAGAGGGGAAGGAACGGGAGGTACAATGACCTGGCACGCGCCGTGGCACAGGTTCTGGGGCAGGTCGTTAAACGTGATGTCGTCGATCTCGACCTGCCACCAGGACAGGACGGCCACGACGGCGACGGTGGCTGTGACGACGGCGATGGCGCTAGCGGCGGCGACGGCGACGGCGACGGCGAGGACGACGGCGACGGCGACGGCGAGGACGACGGCGTCGGCGACGGCGGCGACGACGACGCCGCCGGCGCCGGCGCCGCCGACGACGCCGACGGCAGCGACGACGACGACGACGACCACGACGACGACGACGACGACGACGACGACGACGCCGCCGCCGCCGCCGCCGCCGCCGCCGCCGCCGACACCGACGGCAGCGACGACGACGACGACGACGACGACCACCGCGGCGGCGCCGCCGTGGCGGCGGCTGGCACCGCGCGGCGCGCTCCTGCGGCCGCGTCGTCGTCGTCGTCGTCGTCGTCGTCGTCGACGTCGTCGGCGTCGTCGGCGTCGCCAGCGCCAGCGCCGGCGCCGGCGTCGTCGTCGTTTCCAGCGCCGACGCCGGCGTCGCCGACGCCGGCGCCGCCGACGCAGGCGTTGCCGCCGCCGCCGCCGTCGTCGATGGATCGGTCTCGACCTGCCACCAGGACTCCACCTTCACTGGTGCCCAGATGATGTCCGAGGCAAGGCGCTCGGGGCGGTAGCCTCCAAAGGTCACCTCGCTGTCGTCCCCGTCGGAGACGAAGAAGGAGAAGACGCCTCCGACGCCGCCCTTTGCCTGCGGAGGGATGGCGACGGGGACGGGGAGGAGGAGGAGGAGGAGGAGGAGGAGGGGAAGGAGGCAGGTCAGACCAGGAACAGATACCGATGACGGGGCCCTTCCCGTGTCGCCACGGCAAGATTTGCCCCAAAACTCTGGTCAGAACGCGCACCCTCAGAGGTCCATGGTGTAGCGATATCGGCACCGTGTTCGTCCCTTCCTGGAGGAGGGAGGAGGGAGGAGGAGGGGAAGGATGACGAGGAGGAGGCGGAGGAGGAGGCGGAGGAGGAGGGGGGGGGGCAAGGAGATGAGGAAGGGGGCGAGGAAGTCAACAAGGGAGTTTTTCTCGACGACCATCAAGCCAGGAGCAGGGGGGAAAGAGGGCACAACGACGACGCGGCCCTTCGCCTCCAGGTCGTCCACAATGTTGAAGCCGGCGCCCATAGACAGGTCTTTGAAGCCGAGGCCCATGATGCCGTCGAAGGGGATCTCCTAGAAGGAGGAGGAGGGGGTCGAGGAGATCGATGAGGGACGGTGATGATTAGTATGAGTATGCGTACGACTACAAGACGCTATCTTCCTGACATATACCTCCCTACACGTGCGAATTACTCAGGTCGGCCGAGCATACGCTTGTCGCTGGCACTTAAGACCTCAAGCCACATACCTCTGCAAATCCGATCAATATACTCCGCTCTTGTGAAGGGGATCTTGCAAGCTCGCACCTGGCCTATTTCACCCAACTGTGCACTAGCATAGCACCCGCAGCCTGTACACTACCACAAATGTGAGGACGGTGATGATGCAGGGAGGGAGGGAGAGAATGTGGAGAGAAGGGAGGGGGAAGGAGGACAATGGGGGAAGGGAAGGAGGAGGAGTGGGAGACTTAGGAGGAGGAGGAGGAAGAAGAGGGGGAGGCGGATCAGGAGGAGGAGGAGGAGGCGGATCAGGAGGAGGAGGAGGGGTGAAAGGCTCAAGAAGAAAAGGCAGAGGAGGAAGAGGAGGAGGAGGAGGAGGAGGAGGAGGAGGAGGGGAAATGATCCTGGAACGGCTCCGCGGACATTTGGTCGGCTGCGATGAAGTTCGAGTCGAAACAGAGGGCTTCGCCGATGCACAGCCTGTCCTCTCTTCGAGGCCCCAAGACCGTGTGGTGGTCCGACCGCACTGTTAACAAATGTCAAGACGTCGCATGTATTGGCAGCACTCCTCCTCCTCCTCCTCCTGCTCCTGCTCCTGCGCCTGCTCTTCCTCCTCCTCCTCCTCGCCCTCCCCATCTTTCTCATAATATGTCTTCTCCTCCTCTCCTCCTCCTCCTCCTCCTCTTCCTCCTCCTCCTCCTCCTCTTCCGCCTCCTCCTCCTCCTTCACCAATCATTGCCCTCCTTGTCTTTTTCATACTCTGTCCTCGCCTTCTCCTCTTCCTTCTCCTCGTCCTCGTCCTCGTCCTCCTCGTCCTCCTTCTCCTATTCCTCCTCGTCCTCCTTCTCCCCCTGCCCCTCTCCCCCATCATCCATCCCCCTCCCCCTCCCCCTCCTCCTCCTCGTCCTCCTCCTCCTCTTTCTCCTCCTCCTCATCCTCATCCTCCTCTTCCTCCTCCTCCCCCCTCCCCCTTGTCCTCCCCCTCCTCCTGCATTTCCTCCTCTTCCTATTAACTTAAGTGTTCGCTTCACCTGTAGTAGTATGATGCTATGAGTTGTTTGATTGATAGTGTGAGTGTCTTTCTTATTGATACAAAGTTTTGATCGGATCATCCGTAGTCTTAGTACTCGTACCCACGCTTTCATTATTGTTATTGTCAGTATTACGATTCGATGTATTAGTTTGATTACTCGCAATGCTGCTCGTACTAAATAACAACAGTAGCATCGTGAGAAATGTTACTAGTTATCATTCCTACGATTATTCATCACAACAGTGTTACTATTCGTATGGTTTGTTCTGTCTTTTGTATGTTAGATTATTGTTCTTATGATCGTCTTAATATTGCTAGTCGTATCGTCTCCTATTTGGAAATAATATGATTCGTGTTCGTGTGCTGGTTCGTCTTCTTACTTGCCTTCGTAGTAGTACTATAATTCGTCTTCTCTTCTGAGTATTATCCATAATCGTCTTCATGTTAATGTTCCTCCTCTCTTCCTCCCCCTCCTCCTAATCCTCCTTCTCCCCCTCCTCCTCCTCCTCCTCCTCCTCCTCTTCCTCCACCACCACCTCCTCCTCCTCCTCCTCCGCCCCTCAGGGCCCAGAGGCGCGAAGTGGCCGGACCGCGCGGTGGCCTGGAAGTCCCAGAGGAGCCCACCGCGCGGTCCGGCCACCGCACGGTTTCGGGACCGGCCGCCCGAGACGTCCTCGGAGAACGACCCGGGCCCGAATCCCCACTCAGTCACCACACGGCGTGGTCGCCGCGCCCTTCGGGGGCTCCCGACGGCATGATTTGTGCACGACGTGGGCCCCCAGCTGTCTGGACCCATTCCCCGGGGCCAGTTTTCATCCCGAAGGGTGTGTTGAGACGGCCCGAGGGCCGGCAAAGGCCCCCAAAAGCCGAAAATGGAGAAAACCTCCCATCATGACTTGTTTCATGACCCGAGGGGGTCTGGGTTCGGGTGCCCCCGCGTCCTTGTAGAAGTCGCCCGCGATCTGCCCAGTTCCGAACGTGATCTCGGACGAGCCCTCGCGGGGGGGGGATGCAGAGGGCGGCCCCTGTCTCACTCCTCCGCGCAGTGTCCCTCGCCCTCCCTCCTCCTTCAAGACCTCTGCGTCGTCCCTCCGTCCTCCCCCGCCACCGCCTGCGCCCTCCCCTTCCTCCTCCTCCTCGTCCTCCTCCTCCTCATCCTGCTGCTCCTGTTCCTAATCCCCCCCGTCCTCCTCCTCCTCCTCCTCCTCCTCCTCCTCCTCCTCCTCCCTCCTCCTCCTTCCTCCTTCTCCTCCTCCTCCTCCTCCTCCCTCCTCCCTCCTCCTCCTCCTCCTCCTCCTCCTCCTCCCTCCTCCTCCTCCTCCTCGTCCTCTCTCCTCTCCTCCTCCTCGTCCTCCTCCTCCTCCTCCTCCTCCTCCTCCTCCTCCTCCTCCGCCCTCTTCCTCCCTCCTCCTCCTCCTCCTCCTCCTCCTCCTCCTCCTCCTCCTCCTCTCCTCCTCTCCTCCTCCTCCTCCTCCTCCTCCTCCTCCTCCTCCTCCTCCTCCTCCTCCTCGTCTCCTCGTCTCCTCGTCTCCCTCCTCTCCTCCTCCTCCTCCTCCTCCTCCTCCTCCTCCTCCTCCTCCTCCTCCTCCTCCTCTCCTCCTCCTCCTCCTCCTCCTCCTCCTCCTCCTCCCCCTCATCATCGTCATCGTCATCGTCATCATCATCATCATCATCATCATCATCATCATCATCATCATCATCATCATCATCTCATCATCATCATCATCATCATCATCATCATCATCATCATCATCATCATCATCATCATCATCATCATCATCATCATCATCATCATCATCATCATCATCATCATCATCATCATCATCATCATCATCATCATCATCATCATCATCATCATCATCATCATCATCATCATCATCATCATCGTCATCATCGTCGTCGTCATCATCATCATCATCATCATCATAATCATAGTCATCATCACCACCATCATCATCATCATCAACAACAACATCATCATCATCATCATCACCACCATCATCATCATCATCACCGGCATCATAATCAGAATCATCATCAGCAGCATCCGCATCAGCATCATCATCATCACCATAACCATCGCCACCATCATCATCATAACCAGCATCAACATCATCATCAGAGGGGGTCTCTCTAGATTGAGCTACATGATGGGGAAAACGACAAACGAATTAATTGTCCTGAATAACGATGCCCCTGTTCCATCGACAAACAACGCATCATGAAGAAACATACTCACCCTTTTCGAAGATCGACCGACTAACTCGCATTTCGACGTGAACTACTCTACTCAAACGAGTGACAACATGTTAGCAATCTCTAACAACCAACTTTTCGGGATGAGCGAATAACGGGAGAAAAGAATAACACTTCTACGTCAACCTGCGAACTTTAGATGAATAAATTCCTGAACGATTCCGCGAAAACCACAAAACTCTTGTCCATGAAGCCGCCCTCCTGAAATTAGCCGGGGCGAAGACAAACGACGGAAACCACATGCCCCGAGTGGTTGACTTCCAGGAACGACGAGCGGGGCGCCCCCAGGTCAAATCGTGACCGCGACGAAAGACGACATGAACCTGGATGACTTACCCACTAGCGCCTCGCGGCGAACGAACGACGGGGCGAAACTCGCACTACTTAACTACTTGTAGCCGAATAAACCCTCTCATATCATCATCATCATCATCATCATCATCATCATCATCATCATCATCATCATCATCATCATCATCATCCTCATCATCAAAATTATCATCATCACCATCATCAGCAACAGCATCATCATCATATTCATCCTCATCATCGTCATCATCATCACCATCATCGTCATCATCATCATCATCGTCATCGTCATCATCATCCTCATCATCACCATTATCACCACCATCAACACCATCATCAGCAGCATCATCCCCCTCGTCCTCGTCCTCCTCCTCGTCCTCGACCTCCTCTTGTTCCTCCTCCTCCTCTTCCTGCTCCTGTTCCTGCTCGTGCTCCTGCTCCTGCCCCTGCTCCTGCTCCTGCTTCTCTTCCACCTCCTCCATCTCCGCCTGCTCTGTTGCTCCTGCTCCTGTTCCTGCCCCTGCTCCTGCTCCTGCTCCTGCTCCTGTTCCTCCTCCTGTTCCTCCTGCTCCTGCTCCTGAACAGGTCCGCTGCAGGAAATTCGCTCCCAGTCGTCCGTATTTTGGGTAGAAGTGGTTCACGGCCGCCGCCACATACATGCCCGTCGAGGCCTCTCGCCCTACAGGTAGAGGGAGGTGAAGTAGTGCACCACGCAGGCGTCCATCGTCTCCGACGACATACGAAAAAGTCCTTGCGGCCACACCTCTCCTTCAGCTGCTCCAAAACTCTCTGGTAGCGAACCGTCACCATGAGCGTTACGGTGCTCGACTCGCGGCAACGGTCGATCGGCGCGCCGTTTTCGAGCGCACGACAGACTGCTGAGGGACACCGCTTGACCCGCCTCGCCAGTGTCCGCTGACGCATGGCGGCGTTGGCGGCCTCTGACTCGCTGGTAGTGCCGCTCGAGCTGCGCTCTGCTGACTGCGCCCGTTTCCCAACGACGCGCCTCTGGGCCGCCCGTTTCTGAGGCCGCGCCCCCCTGCAGCCTCCCGGTTCTGAGCCGCCGATCCTCCTGCTGGCGCCCCGCCCTGCAGCGTCGGAGGCAAGGTTTGTGGCCTCCTGCAGCTGGGCTCTGTCAGCAGCATCAGCACCCGCGCTCGCGGAACTGCAGCTGGCTTCTCTCTGCCGCGCGCCCCTGCAAGGGCGCGGGCGCAGCCGGGCACAGCTGCGCGCATCGCAATCAGCTTGGACCAAAATCTTTCTGGGCCGAGAGCCCGAGATAGGCTGATCACTGCAGCTCGACCGAACTTCGCGCTCCAAATAATTCGCAGCCCTCTCAACGGGCATTACACTATTCCAATCAGACTCAAGCTCTTCGCGCCGACAGTTCACGGGGCGTAAAAGCGCGCAGAAACGGGGGGGACAAACAAGTCAGACTGCCCCGGTTCATCCTCGACCTCGGAGCAAGGAAGAGGGCGGGGGGGGAAGGCGAGCAAGGCGACAGGGAACTAGACGCGCGAGAATATTCGAAGGCTTTCCACCTCCGGCCCGCGACCCCTCATCACTGTTGTTGACTTCGCTCGGGATCACGCGGGCAACGGCCCTCGGATTCCGACTCAAAGTAAATGCCGAGAACTTGCGAATACGTCGCAAGATCGCGGAGCTCCTACACCTGCGCCCATCGAAGGCCAAGGTTTCTCCTTGGCTATCGACCAGCAAAATTTGCCTAGCATTAAAGCCGAAACGAATCAGAGCAATGCGTCTTAGCGACAGCACGACGGTTCGAGATTCTAGCATGCCAATGTGTTCACGGCATCTCTAGGCCCCCCGCCCTACGCATCGCCAGAGTTGACGCGACAAGAGATCGCTGGGCACATCGCAGGAGTTTGGGCCCATCTCGCAATTCCCCCTGGGCCGCGTGGATTCGGTCAGAAACTCCCCCCCCTCGTCAACGCAGAGCGTTGCCTTCCCCGCCTTCGCCGCCGCGAAGTCCCCCAGACCCGCCGCGGCAAGGGCACAACGACGGTCCTCGACCCCCCCCCCCCGCCCCGAACCGCCCCCCTCCACGACAACGGCCCGCGACGCTGACAGACTCCAGATTCCAGAGGCCCCTCGCAATCCCGCACCCGACCTCCGAGACACCCGAACACTGGACCCATCGGTTGCACGGCAACCGCCAATCTGAGACTATCATCGGGGGGAGACCACGGAATGCCAACAGCTCTTCACGGCAACTCTTCCACAGCGGCGCTAGCTCTCTCTCTCTCTCTCTCTCTCTCTCTCTCTCTCTCTCTCTCTCTCTCTCTCTCTCTCCTCTCTCTCTCTCTCTCTCTCTCTCTCTCTCTCCTCTCTCTCTCTCTCTCTCTCTCTCTCTCTCTCTCTCTCTCTCTCTCTCTCTCTCTCTCTCTCTCTCTCTCTCTCTCTCTCTCTCTCTCTCTCTCTCTCTCTCTCTCTCTTTCTTTCTCTCTAGGCCGCGCCTGGGGCCTCTGCCCATCCAGCGCCGCGCCGAGCACCTCGACCCCGTCGCTGCGAACCTCGCGCCCGTGCACCGCGAGGCCTGCCGCCTCGAAAGCCCGCGCGAGCTCGCCTATGCCGCTACTGACGCGCCCCCCATTCTGGCCGATGGCCCCATGTTGCCTGCGCACACGCCGTGCCCCACCTGCTCTGGCCAGCAGGCGACTCGCAGCACCAGCGGCTCCCCCAGATCGCTCACGGGCGTGCCGTCGTGAGGGTTCGAGGCGAACTGACAGCGCGGCTCGGTCGCGCTCTGGCGCAGGCGTAGGCTCCACGAGCAGCCCATCGGTAGCGCCCCAGGGATCGGGTAGGTCAAGTCGTCGAACTTCAGCCAGTGCCCCTCGGGCTCGGCGCCGCGGAGCCCCGCGTCGCCTGCCTCGAGGGCTGGCAGCCCGAACAGGCGCTTCATCCACGGCGGCAGGCGCGCGCGGCGGTGCGCACCCTTCTCGTCCGCCACCCCGACCGAGGACTCCACCTCCTCCAGCGCAGCCACGGGCGCAGCCTGCAGGCGGCCCTCGGCGCCCCCCCACCTCCCCGAGAAGGCCGAGAGCCCTTCGGCCGTCAGCAACCGCGCAGAAGGCGGCTCTATCAGCCATGCATTGCTTCGTCGGCAGTCATGAACCACGCGCGTCTCCCCCCCCTTCCCCCAGACAGATAGGGCATCCACCATCTCCGAGACCTGGCGAGTGAACGACACCAGCCCGCGCTTCACGAGATCGTTCGCGAAATCGCTGCACCCGCGCCGGCCCCGCGCCGCCGTCGGCAGGGCCACCGAGGCAAGGCGGCCTCCGACGCGTCAACTCCCGCAGGGCTGAACGCGGAGGCCGCAAATCTCCGCCTCGCATCGGCCGCGAGATGTCAGCCACCTGCCCTTCGACGCGCCGCGCGACGTCGAGCTGCGCGCCCGACGGGGGCG